AAAAAAAAAAAGGTTTTCAGGAAAACAGTCTTAGCATCATAGAGGCCCTGGCTGCTGATTCTTCCTCGCAACTGGTCCTCTGCTACTGGAATGTTACAGTGACAGGATGAGAGGCACCAAAACCCCAAGGTGTCTGTTTCTCAAGGTGGCCTGGGCTCAATGAGCTATATCCCTTCCTCCAATCACTGTGCAAATTACGGGAAAAGGGTCCTGGCTGGGAGATAGTGCAGTGCAGTGGTTAGGATACCGTGGGCTGGAGGGTGGGACAGATATGATTGAGTGTGGCTCCCAACCCGACTCCTAGGAGCTCTGTGTCCTCGGGCAAGTCACTTCAGCCTCAGGTGGTGCAGCTTCTATATATAGCAACAAATGATTCTTACTGAAAGTGTGGGTGATAAGAGCAGCCCTTTTGTCCATCGCCCACCCCCGCGCTGGATCTGTATTGGATGCGGTCTTCCTACCGTGGTGGTTCTTTCACTTCCAGAACCTTCCCATGGAAGGAAGGGAGGCAACGCTGAAATGGGTATGTAAGGCCCTTCCACTTCATCTCTGCTATTGGAAGGACCTCCTTCAGAAGGCTCTGTACCACCCTGTTGCCTCTCCGGTCCTCACGTGGAGGAGCGGCTCTGTGCAGGAGAAGCTGGAGAGCTAGGGCGAGCAAGGAGAAAGCGTCCTTTTTCCTTTCTCTTCCAGGAGTCAGGGCGATGAGCCTGGCCCCATGGGGCATGTTTAATTATAATTCACACCACTTGCTCTTTGACCAGCTCAGTTAAGTCTTGAACATATACCCAAATACCTTTTACCGGCCTTTTGTAAAGCAGCTCAAGATACAGGAGGAGAATCAAGTTTCTGAAATGAAGAAAAAAAAAAAAATATATATATATATATAGTAAGAGAAATCGTGCTTTTTCCTGCCGGGGACTGTTTACGAGAGGGAAGTCAGCGGGGCCCCCAAGAGGTCGCTGGTGGCGCAGAAACTGAGGCCAGATGGTAGAGAAAGGGGAAAGGAGAAAAACACCCAGAAACTTTCTTCCTAGTTGCGAATAATCGCCGCCCCCCCCTTCGCCTCCCGGTCAGAGGGAGTAACGTGACACCCGGGAGAAACCCGGAGACCGGGGCGCCGAGAGGGAGGGAAGAGGGAGGAGAGAGGGCTGCGGAGAGCCGGAGAGGGAAAGGGGAGGAGAAGAAGGAAAACCCCTGTCAAGGAGGTGGAGCGAGGGGGTGGTGTCCGCCTCCTGTTCCTCCCTGCCGTCTTTTAGAGGAGTCTGAACCGGGACAAAACACGCCGAGACCGACAGACACAAAGCCGGGGGGTCCACGCTGGCGCTGGAGGCGAGCCCGGGCGGCCGCGAGCGAGCCCGAGGCGCGGCGGGGCGCGGGGCGCGGGGGCGCTAGCGGGCGCGGGCCGAGCCGGGGCCGGGCACCTCGGCCGCTCGGGCCGCGGCGGCGGGGACCATGCCGAGGAAAGTCTCCTGAGCCCGGCAACTTCGGCCCCTCCCCGCCCCCACCCGTGCTGCCCTCCGCGCGGCCCTGCCCATGTGCAGCCGGCCGGCCGGGCTCTCCTCCTCGCAGGCGGATGGGTGACCTTTTCCTGGCTCGGGCAGGCTGTGCGAGGCGGCGGAGCAGGCGATGAAGAAGAAGCAGCAGCATCCCGGCGGCGGCGCGGATCCCTGGCCCCATGGGGCCCCTCTGGGGGGCGCCCCTCCGGGCCTGGGCAGCTGGAAGCGCCGGGTCTCCCTGCTGCCTCTCCTGCGCTTCTCCCTCCGGGACTACGGCTTCTGCATGGCCACCCTGCTGGTCTTCTGCCTGGGCTCCCTCTTCTATCAGCTCAGCGGGGGACCCCCTCGCTTCCTGCTCGACCTGCGGCAGTATTTGGGTAAGGAAGGGGGCCGGGCGAGGGCGGCGCGGGCCCCGCGAACTTGTGCTGGGGAGGGGGGCGGGGAGAGGGGCGCGTCGGGGACTTGTGGCGCTGCGACCGCCCGCCGGCGCCCCGAGGCTCCCCAGGTGGGACGCCCGGGTGCCGGCTTCCTCCCGCGCGTCTGTCCGTCTGCCCCGAGGCGGAGGCGCTGCCTGGGTGGCGTGCGGGGCAGGTACCCCGGGCGGGGCACCGCATACCTTCCCCGCCTCTGCCTCCCCGTCTGGGGCGGAGTGCAGGCGTGTGTGCGTGTGGGTGTGTACGACTGTGTGTTTTCTGGCCCGGGGGTGTGGGGAGCGGCAAGGGCAAGGGCCCGCCCCCGCGGGGCATGGTCAGAGGACCGTGGTCTTCTGTCTCGTGAGCACTCCGGGTCGTGCGGGGGATGGGGTTCGCTCCTCGCCCCGCTCGGTTCTGCTAGTTCTGCCCCGCGAGTCCTCCTCCTGCTCGCCGGCTCAGTGGCCCAGGGGCAGTTTTCGGGCTCCGTGCTGACCCTGGGCTGGCTAGTCCTTCGGCAACAGCGAGGGGTACGCGGGGAGCGGCTGCCCTCGGGGGGGTCCGGGGCTATCCGAGGGCGCGGGTCAGCCTGGCTGGCAGTGTCGCCTGCTTTGACCCGAAGATCCTCTGAGATGCGTCTGTCTCAAGTCAGAACTTTTGGGGGCGGGGGGCTTGTGCTTGGTTTCTTAGAAGCGAGGCTGCCTATTTTTAGCAGAAGTGAGGAAGGGGTTGCACGGAGAGAGAAAAGAGTCGCTGCAGAGAGAGGGCGGGATCCGCAGCTGGGTGCGGGCGCGGGGAGGGCGGTGCCAGGGCCAGGCGAGCGCACGCCCGGGTCCCAGGTACGCTGCTGGCGCACGCCCTGGCCAAGGGAGGCTGCAAATCTCTGACCCGTCGTGGCCAGAAGAAGTTTTGCGGGGGCGCGGGGAGAGGCTGGGGAGGCGCCAGCTTCTTGCAAAGGTCCAAGGTGATGAACCTGAGCCACCGGGCAAACATCCGGCATCTGCCTGACGCGAGCCGGTGCGCAAAGGGAAGCCTCCGAAGCGCTGGACCATATCGGGCGAAAAGACTCCAGTAGGCTGGAAGCTGCTACACTTCACCTCAAAAGTCCCCCAGTCGCAGAAGCCACAGGTCTAGATAGCAGGAACCTCAGCAAAGTGACAAATGTGTCGGAGCATTTTGAAATATAAACGCAGATAAAATAATGCTCTTTCCATGTAGTGAAGCTCAGATTTTAAAAGGTGTGCTTCCATTTCAGTAGAAACTTTGGAGAACTATGGTTTTGTAAGATGCTTTAGGGAAAATTAAAGAAAAATATTGTCCAAGCAGGTTTCCAGTACAATCTGGTTTCTCAGAGGATTTGGGATAATACGCACTTTTATTAGGGAGTCAAATCTCTTCTTTCTCTGAGTTCTGTATTTTGGAGTCTCCATAGCTTCATAGATTCTGAGACACCTGCTAGTGCTACAAAGCTAACTTTTTTTTTTCCTTTTTCTTTCTTTCTTTTTTTTAATAGTTAACAACATCTCACTGTTAACTGGCATTGGGAAGTGTTTTGGAAGCCCAGGGCTCTATAAAATCTGATAACAAAATCTTTGTTGAAATTCCCCTTAAGCAAAATGTTGGAGGCCAATGGGGCAGGGAAAACACAGTGGATGGGGAATGAGGCTATCTGTGTTTAGTGCCCTCAAGAGCACTTGGCAGGGCACTCAGACTTCCTGGGCCTCAGCTTTTTCATTAGTAGTTAGGGGCTGGACTAGGTTATATCTCAGACCTCCACCCAGCTCTTGAAATGTTGTGTTTCTGATCCCTTCTTGGGGGCAGGAAAAACTGAAAGGAGGAATGAACAAAGGCCATACTGGGGGTAAAACCAAGAAACTGCATAATCTAGCATGTTAACCTTTTGAAAACTGAGCCAAAAGTGTGTTGTTCCCAGAATCGAGTGCTTTCATCCTTTATTTAAAAAAATGAGGCCTGATAAATTTGGGGGCTCAGTTGGTAGAAGGGTGAATTCACTCAGGGAACTGGGAAGAGCCAATGGGTCTAACATTGCTCTTGTTACTAACTTATCATTAAGTTTCTGACTGACATGATGGGTGAAAAAAATGGCATCACTGTGAACTGAAAATAGGATACCTTGGCCAAATTTGTTCCCTGTTGTTTTGTTACATAAATATAATGATTTTTGGGAAAAGTGCGCTTGTGGTCTTTAAGAGGGTCTAAAATATACCCTTAATAATATAAGGCCAAGGTATCTGCAGAATACTTACCCCTTGTGTCCTCCATTCTATTATTTTAGTGTCTGTCAAAACAAAATTTGTGGTTAGTAAACATATCCTCTCAATTTCCTGAGTTAGCCAATTTTGGAGGCAAGTATTTTTCTTAAATATAAGTTCATATAAAGTCAGAATTTTCCAAATCAAAATAATATTTATAGCAAAAAATTTTCTTGACAGGAACTTATTTTAATATACTTATATAATATTATACATCTACACATAGTAGCTACTTGATATTTATGGCAGTAATAACTGAACCTCTTGTATCAAATAGGTCGTATGATATTTAACATATTGAATATTCTCACAGTAAAGCCAGGAGATAGGACCATTCCCGGTAAAAGCTAACACTCATTGTGTATGTTCCAGTAAAGGCAAATGCAGAATGAAATTGTATCCACATTGCAATATTACAGGGAGCTTCTATTGTTCCTATTTTTGATGTGGGAGAAATGAAAACACAGAGATTCACTGACTTGCTGAAGGACACACAGCAAATAAGGCAGGACTTGAACCCAGATCTCTCTGGTTCAGGCACTTAATGCATAACTCTACGAGCAGCCAAGATGCAAGGGGAATCTGAAGAGCTGACGGGCTAAAAATAATCATATGTATTTGCATAATTTTGCTTTCTTTGATATTTTATTCTGAGTATCTTAAGGGGCCAGCAGAGAAGGGAAATACGTCAAGCAGCTGGTCTGCTCTTAACTCCACTTTCCTGTATTAATCTCCCTGTACCAGTGAACTCAGCCCTCCCAGTGCCACATACCCGGAGGTGATACCAAATAGAATCTTAAATTCCTGATCTTTCTGTCTTCCTTTAGCAATTTGTTCTTTGTCTGGGCTAGTAGTTTTCAATGTGTGGTCCGTGGACCTGCAGCATCAGCATCACCTGGAAACTTGTTACAAATGCAGATTCTCAGGGCTCGTTCCAGACCAACTGAATGAAAGAGTCTGGGCCCAGGACCCAGCAATCTGTGTTTTAGCAAGTCTTCCAGGTGACTCTGATACAGGCTAAAGTTTGAGAACCATCGTTGCAGGGAAAAGCTTTACTTTCAGGAAGCCTCCTATATACTTAAGTGAAAGAAGGGAGATGAGAGAGAGGAGATTCAGACAGTATTTTAAAGGTGATATGCATGGTTTCATCTTTTACAGCTCAACTTTTAAAATTGCATCTGCTTTGCTGCTTAAGCCCCATTGTTTCAAGGGAAAGACCAGCTAACAGCTGCAGCTGCAGCTGGCTTTAGACTCTCCGAGGTTAAGAGTTGGGTGGAATGGGGTGGAGCTGGCGACCAGAAGGCATAGTGGAGAAAGAAAGGGGAAGGAGGCAATGATGATGCTTTCCCTTCCCACAGAAGCTGGGTCAAATAGTTATTCTTTTCTAGTTTGTTTGGGCCTGGGCAAAGTCTGTTTTCCTTAAAGGTACTTTCTGCAGCAAAGGATTTGAAAAAAGCAAAGTAAATTGGGAGCAGGGTGGATTATGCAGGACTAACTGTGGTCTTGATTTTTTCCTCCTTGAAATCGGTTGAGGGAGAACAGGAGCATAGAGTGGGGTAAAATGCATGGGTTTGGCAAATGGCTATCCCTAAGCTTGGGGACCATAGTTTTTCCAATTCAGTGACATTCTTTGCTTTTTTGAAGTGGCATTCAGACTTTGATTTGCTATGGAAAACAAATAAAAATCAAGTAAACCCCCCCCCCCAGAAATTAGGTTATGATACAGCCTCTGCCAGTAGTCTCATTACTTATGAGCTGTGGAAATATCAGAAACTTGGAATATAACTCATTACTCTGATGTAAACTGAATAAAGCCAGATGGCTTACTACACATCTTATACAACTGGCAAACTCTAATGATTTATCATCAAGCCTTGGATATGTGATTTAGCCTTTATGGGAACTAAATTTGTTGGGTCGATCTCAAATTGACATGCTTTCCTTTCCATTTTTTAAATCATACCACTTTAAATGGAGATACACTACTTTTATTTCAGTTTTCAGAATTGCCAATCTTTATACATATTATATATGAGCATGGCAATTTCGAGTCAAAAAACGAGAGAGAAAGAGGTGGAACTTTATCGAATTTGAAATTCTCCAGGTTTAAATGAATTTAAAGGAAAATGTGAAAAATAGAGATCCAGATCTGTTACAAAATCATTTCTTTAAACCTTAAAAATCAAATTTAATTTTTCTTCTGCACATCAGGCATGGTTTAAATATAGTGCTCTGGGCCCCAGACAGCAATCTAGGAAATGAATGCATTAAATATGATGTGATCAATAGAAATCGTTGACATAAAAAGAAAATGGCATTCTTGTTTGTAGCTGCAAATGTGTCTTATAGGGTTGGCTGGGGACACAGTAGCCCTGTATTAGAGGAAGGACAGAAAATGGAATTCAGCTATGGCAGACTGTTCTATAAACACATGGCATGAATGGGGAAAAGCATTCTGCTTTGTAAACTATTTTTGATGTAGACTAGTCTCAGTATGAATTGTTTAAGAGTACGTATAAATATGTATTATCTGGATACTGTCTTTCCTCAAATTCCCTGTCATCAGTCCAGGTTTAAAACACTAGTTGGCTTTGTATTTGAGAAACCAGAAGGAAAGTGGTCAAGCTTGTTGGGTCCCAGAAGAAATAGTATCTTTTGCTTCCCCTGAGGGAAGCGCAAGGGTGGACACTAGCT